CCCCACTCTCCACCACCACAGATCCGTACTTACCGAGATATGATGGACACAGTTCCACTATTGTTACATCCAACACTGCAATGTTCCCTCTGCTGGTCACACCTGCACATTGCAGCTCCATAGGGAGGCTTTCAACGCTGGATGTCAACAAACAGCGGAGCAGATATCGGTAAGTGTAGATCTGTATAGCGGGAGGGTGAGATTGTTTAGGTTAGGGGAGGGGGCAAAAAAGAATAAGAACAGATTAGTGTTGTCCAATGTGTCTGTTCCACATTTCTCACCTTCTTTTCCAGACTAACACAACAGCAATGCTAGGTCCCTCCAATTCGCACATTACCTGTCTCCTTTTTTATCTATTCAGCAGATTGCAAACCTCGAAATGGCTCAAAGTATGTTATTGTTCTGATTTCTGCACAATGTGTGTAGTGGAGCAGTCTAGGTAAGGGGCCCCTGATTAGTTACACCTTCAATCTACAGACTTTTGTTATGAATGGACTTTCGCTTCCAGATCCAGGTCATAACATTTTGTTTTGCACAGGCGCACAACTACATCGTTCCCATCGACAACGGCCGAGGAAGACATACACGTTTAGAATTTAGCTTGTTCGAGAAAGAAGTTTCCAACGTGCTCCTGCGAAAATTCTCGGGAACATTGTCCTTTTCGTCTGTCGATATCACCATTCTAATTTATAGATATTCAAAAGAACGTTCCGAAAACAACTTCTTTCGTACAAAATTCTACTACCCTACTTAAAGTAACACTAAACTCTGGAGTTACATTACATTCAAGTACCTTAACTAATAACAAACATGCATCTTATTTGTGTATCACTCGGCTGTAGATCCTGAAATCATCTCTGAATTGGTGCGGACACTGTCCTTCCTTCTGGAGGGTGACTACTTTTGCTCCCCATGGTCCCTGTGTGTGTTGTAAAGTAGTCACCGCTCCAAGCTCGCTCCCGGGATGGACTACAATCTCAATACAAATTAGTAAACAAAACGTGAGATTGTAGTCCATCACAGGAGCGAGCTTGGAGCGGTGATTACTTCACAACACACACAGGGTCCATGGGGAATAAAAGTAGCCCCCCTCCAGAAGGAAGGACAGTGTCAGCCCCAATTCAGAGATGATTTGAGGATCTACAGCCGAGTAATACACAAATAAGTTTGTTGTTAAAGGAGAACTATGGGGTTAAGGCTTTCCCCATAGTTCTCCTTAGGGTAACGGGAGGACACAAACTAGCGTCCTCCCGTCACCCTAGGCTCAGTATACCGCGAGCTGTAGCTACAGCTGTAGCTCGCGGTATACTGAGTAGCTGTAGCTCGCGGTATACTGAGACGCCGCAGTATACAGTGAGCTGCAGCTCGCGATATACTAAGACACGTTAGCTGAAGCGGATCACGACAATTATGTCTGGATCCGCCCAGCTGCATGACTGACAGCTGGCTCTGCCTATCTAGAGGCAGAGCCAGCTGTACCCGCTCCCTATCCGTTCGTTCTACCAGTCAGCGCTGGCGGATCGGAGCGGGGAGGGGGGAATCCAGCCCCTCCCCTGTCACGGCAGAGAGCTGTGACAGGATCGAGAGGTGAGCGAACGCTGGTATGTGTTCGGTCACCTCCCGATCTACTGAGCCGACCTGTGACAGTCTCATTGTCACATGTTGGCTAGAACTATGAGGTGAGTGAAAAGCACTCACCTCATAGTTCTCCTTTAATAGTAAGATACTTGAATTTATTTTTAACATTTAATTACTGAGTTTAGTGTCACTTTAGGATTGCATCACAGTAAGTTTAAAATACATCACTAGAAATCATTGCACAACATTCAACCATAACTGAAAGTTTAGTTTTGGTGGAATGACCGTTGGATAACCGCGTTGTATACATCAGATTTAGGTTCAGGGGCTTCTATGAACAATGTGAGTCTTTTGCTCTCACTCATCCTGGTATTTACAAGCAGAATAGCTCACATAGCTGCACACAACCTCACGTCTGAGTGCGATGGATCAAGGTTGCTCGCTATCCATATAGTGATCTCACTTTATGAGCCAGTTAGAGAAAATGTCAGGGGTTATGGGATTAATCATTTATTGGATTTACAACTAACTTGTTTCTTCCGGCACTGGAATAAGACAGAGTAGGCGCACATCTGCTTAACAGATTTACATATCATATAGTTTTTCTCAATATCGTCATTTGGTTTATTATGGAGCATGATGACCATGGGCAACAATGGCCCAAGTGTGAAAGCCTCTCAATTAGTGTCTATATATATATATATATATATGTGTGTGTTTGTGTGTGTATATATATTATATTATATTGCTTTAAAATATCTGCATATCCATTGTAATACAATCTTAATTATCAAGAAAAAAATCTAAATACCTACATGACCTACTTTCCCTAATTTGACGCACGTGCGGCACCGATTGAAATCAATGGGCGTCGCGCAGCAAACACGGAAGAAAAAAGTGTGCGAATGTGACGTGTGTTCCCACAATGCCCAAGTGTGATCGGGGACTTAGAGATATCTCCCCTCACTTAAGCCTGTGACACACTGCTCACCAAGCAGTGTGAAGCAATGCAAAGCAGTGCAGAGGCATGGAGCTGGGCGCAGTCAAATGAAAGACTTCATCTTCAGCCAATCGGCTCACAGGTAACAACTCAATGGGCTTTGCATTCCTGACGTGTGGGCTTATAAGAGCAAGCCGATTGGCTGAAGATGACATTTTTCATCTCAGCACGCTCAGCCATGCTAGCTCTTGCAAGCTGACGTGCCCGATGGACAATTGCAAGACACACTGCAGGCGAATGTCTGCTTGCCGCCGCTTCCCTTTGCTGCGCGCCGCTTCGCATGCAGTGTGTCCAAGGGCACAGACAGAAATTTAAATCTCTACTAAATAAAATGATTCAATTAGCAACATGAGTGACTGGAAACATTGATCAACAGACCCCTAACTATATGGTTTCTTTTTTATTCTTTGGGGTCTACTGATCAGTATTTTTTCACCCAAGATTTACACAACTTTTATCCAGGATTTACTTTTAAATTGACTCGCGGGTAAGAATATATGAATCTCGGGTAAAAACATTGATAAAGGAACTCTTTGTTTTACAAATACACATTTAAAGTATATGTCAAACCAAAGCTATTATATCTATTTATTTTTTTGCATCAAGTATTGAATGCTTTTTTAAAATTGTTCTTATTTTTTGGTGTTCATGCCCTGTTGGGGGACATTTGCTTTTGCGTCCTCTTCTTACAAGAAGCAAAAGAAATCTCTTCAGTGTGAGGGAAAACCCTCCTTATTGAGATGGGCTCATGAGGACAAATAGGCTTCTGCGCTCTTCTGCATTCACCATTCTGTGTTCTGCTGTAGAACTCTGTGTTATGACCGCATACAAAATAGACGATTAGCTGCGGCCAGTTTGTGTGTCCAGAAACACGGTCCCTAGACCCAAACCTTCTGCGTCCAGGGCCAGTCTGAGTCCCTAATTGCATATAACCACTCAAATTAGCAGTTACATGCA